CGTGGCCATGCCTGGGAACCTACTTGGCTTTGCAGCCAGAGCTGGGCTCAAAATGGCCCAGCCGCTGGAGGGATGTGGGGTCAGCTCTTTGGGGGCAGATGGTGGCCCCATCTCCAGCACAGCCAGTTTGGACACGGCTTAGTGGTGCTGCTTGGTACCCAGGAGATGGCAGCAAACCCTCGCACCGAAACCAGGCACTCAGAGGGGGACAAAAATCAGGGATGTCGGGGCTTCCACCCCTCTGGCTCCATCACAGCTCTGGCTCCTCTGCCTACAGACCCTGCACCCAGGGTTACACGCTATGGACCAAAAGCCTGTGGCAGAGCAGGAACAGGCAATAGGACAACTGGCGGCCCCAGCCAGGAGAACGGTTGCAAGGACTGTGGCCATAGGTGTGGGGACAACCCCAAACGTGACTTCTCTCACGGCTGTACCCTTGCAGCACTCATCCCCTGGGTGCCACCTTCGCACTGGAGCAGTGTGGGCAGAGGGAGCTGCCTTGTGTCCATTTTAAATCCTGCATCCATCTAGGACGGCCACAACCCTTTTCTCTTCCCTTTTCCTTCCCAATTCTTTTCTGACTAATTTTAAAACCCACTTGTGATAACAGCGGGGTGGGGTGGGCAGCAGCCACTGGGAAAGCTGGGGCGAGGCATCCCCGGGCAGCCAGGATGGAGAGGGTGGGAGAGGAGAGGGGGGATGAAGGCCTGGCCAGAAACTCGCCCCAGGGCTCCCAGCCTCACCATGGGAGATGCTGCCAGGACGTCCGGCCATTTCCTTCCCACAAGGAAGGGTTTCTCTTTGAGAAAATTACCTCTGCCCAGCGTGGCTCCCCCAGACGAGGGGAGCGGCCGCCCGGGGTGTCCCTGACCCCTGCCCTTTGGCTGCTGGTTTGCTGCCCTTTCCCCACCAAGCTGCATCTGCCACTCATTAACCGCCGAAGGAAGCTGCTTTCCCAGAGGAAGGGTCGCTGCCCGCCCCACCGGACCCGAGCCCGTCCCCGTGCCGCAGGCAGGGTCCTGGGTAGCTCCTGGTGACTGCAGGGCTCAGACCCTGCCCCAGATCAGGCCCCAGCTGCCCCTTACCGGTCTCCTTTCGATCTGCGTTTCTGGAGGCTCTTGCCCTTGGGTCTCCTCTCGCTGCCGATGCAGAAGACGCCCCCCGGGCCGGTGACCCGGATGGACTCCAAACCTTTGGATGATTTCTTGAAGGTGAACTCAACAGCTTCGCCCTCCTTCAGGCTGCGGAAACCCTCCATGTGGAGCTTGCTCTGGGGGGGCACAGGGGAAGGACAGGGGTCAGCGCAACAAGCCCCAGCCCAGCAAACACCTCCCGTGGCACAAGAGTTGCCAATGTCCCCCCATGCCTGCCCCTGTGAGGGGATGTTCATCAGGGAACCAAGCTCAACCAGGCGCCTTCATCTCCCAAAAATCTCTGGAGCCCCATTTGATAATGTGGAGCCTTCAGTGAGCTGAGCCACCCGGCCTAGTGGAGCTCACTGGTTTGGCAAGCAAGGGCCAGCAAAGCCAGCTCTGACCCAAATTTCAGGAGCATTTGCTGCAAAAAGCGAGTTCTCAGTAATGCAAACCAGCCCCCTCCTCACACCCAGCCCCACGCTGGGGAGCGAGAGCCGCCCCTGCACCTCCCAACACCCCGGGCCAGGGATGCTCACGGGGAGATCCAAAACATCATTTTAAAAAGACAAAAGGATCTCAAGGCTTTGCACAGGCATGCGCAACCCTGCTCGGGGCTGGACCCACAGCAAGGCCAGCGGGCTGGAAGCTGGCGCTGCTGGCCCAGCGTCCCAGCCAGCCCCCTGCACTGCAGCCCCCTTGCTGCAGCTCACCTCGGTTCAAGCCCTTCAAGTGCCCCCAGTAATTAATTAAGCAGCCATTTGGCCCTGGATCATCACTGCTGGGGGCATCTCCTGTCCCTCCCAGTATCGCCACATCAGTTGTCACTGTGCAATCAAACTCGGGAGTTCAGACCCAGGCTGGGGAAGGGGGGTGTGAGATGACAGAAAAATCCACTCCACTTCCATGAGCTCCGTGTCTGTTTTAGCAGAACAAATTCATAAGGAATTTGGGCGATGCAGCTAACGTCTCTTGTCCCCCCGCCCCCCATGCCAGCAAGCGCTGCCGTGAGCATCTCTGCCTGCTCTGCTGGACCAGGACCACCACATCCCAGGCAGCGATTCGAGCAGGGCTTTCACTCGACTTCGTTAGCGGAGCCCAAACGAGCGTGAGCAAAGAGTTAAGGGGGATTTGCTGGTAGAGGGAGGAGCAGCTCCATCGGGCTGGGGATTCCCGGCAGAGCCAGCGCCAATGCCTGCGCCGCTGCAGCAAGACCCTGCATTTATGAATGGAGCATCTCCCCCATTCATGGCCCAGCGAGTTCCCTTCACGTGGGCTGCAGCCTCCCATTCTTCCCACACCGAGCTTCTGCGGGGCCTGGACGGCTCCCCTCTCCCTTCCCCTCTTCCACCCCTAAATCTCCCCAGGACCCACGTGGAAACACCTCACATAAAAGCAGAGAGGAAGAAATGTTGTTGGGATTTAGGAGTGATTTTTTTTTCAGTGGGGTCTTGTAAGACCTGTGTGTCCGTGGGCACACGAGGGAAGTGGGAACGCAACAGAGCTCGAGGAAAAACCCTCAAGGCCCCTTTTTCTGCTGCTTTTCCCCCTGCTTCTGTGTCTGGGGGCCCAGCTCTGGGTGGGACAAGACCGCAGGGGCTGGGCCAAGTCACCCACATCCACCCAGTCTGCTTGCCCACGGGGACAGAGTCCAGGGCAGTCTGGATGGGATCGCCAGAAACTTTTGCTCTCTGACCCGCTCCTGCTCCCAAAAGGGAGAGCCAAACCACAAGCTATGAGGTCCCCAATGACAAGGGGGATGCGACAGGAGCTCAGCAGCAACCTCTGCCCGTCCAGGACTGGTCTGGGCAGTCCCATCACCACCCACCACTGGCAAACACCCTGCAATGGCCAGACGCTGCTCCCCAACCCCAGCTCAGCTCTCCCCCAGTGCTGAGCACCACCGGGAAGATGCTGAGCATCACCCAAGCAGGAGCTCTGTGTCCAAAGCAGCTGCCAGCACAACACAGGAGGTGCCCAGCTCAGCCTTAGCACCTTGGGGTCAGCTACCAACCCTGCCCCATCCCCAACGTGCCACCCCACCAGCCCCCTCAAACCCCCTGTACAAGGTGATTTGGGCAACGGCGGGCGCCCCCCAGTTTGCCCCGCTCCAGCAGCAACCCCGGCATTTCAGGGGCAAGGAGCTGAGCATCCCTCCATGGTGAGCATCACTCCATGGCACAGGAGGCAGCTCCGGAGGCTGGGGGATGAGGGCCAGCCACCTCCCGCAGATCCTTATCGGGGGTGTTTACAGCCCGGCTGGCCCAGCTGTGTTTACACGGCAGAGATGAAAACTCCCAGGCGTTTGGCCCCAAGCTTCAGGACAAAGCTGAGCTGTGGCAAGGGGGACCTCAATGCACAGGCTGGGTCCCCCCAGCTCAGCCCACGTCCTTGGGAACCATCACCCATGGGCAGCCAAACTGCTGCACCCCCAGTGCCTGGGGGATCCAGCTCCTTCCCCTCGTGAGCCATCCGCTACCCCCATTTTGAGGAAGAGGAGGGCTGGGGCAGAAGCTGCCAAAAACCCCCCTGCCCCCTTCCCAAAACCCACACATTGCTGGCATTCCTCTGTTATCAGATAGGTAATCAAACTGCAGCCCATTGAATTAGCTGCATACCTCCTGCATCTGAAAGGAAGGGGCCCAGAGCCCCTGTCCCACACCACACACAAAGCCGGAGCCTTCCCAGGCCTCCACACACACACACACACACCACCCCCCCCAAAAAATAAAGAGAGGAAGGGGGGGATTGGAGCGAGCCGGGGATGCTGGGGATGAGGGGGAGCGCAGGGGAGGG